CAGAGTAATGTGAACCTGGCATTATGTGTGTGCGCTGCAAGTGTGCATGAGCGCACGGTGAGCGCGCGAGCGCTGAATGGTTAAACACTGGCAAGAATTAAAAAGAAATGCAATTTATAAACTTTAGTGACGATGTGACACTGCCTCGCAAGTGACAATTCCTGTGCCAACTGTGCAGCGTGCAGCTCGCTTATAGACAGACGCGATGTGTGGTGATTTGAAGCCATTTGCGTATTTTGAGAGAGAAAGTGTGAGAGCGCGCGCGCGGTGATTCACTCACCCTGTTTGTGAAATTACGTCTCAAATAAAGTTTTCAAATGACTTTATAAGTTATTTAATGAAATAATATGAAGACGAGTACCTCACCTTCAGCATTATAATAATTTCACCCGCGCCGGACAGAGACGGTGCCGCTGCATGTCGTGCCAAACCTCTCACAGCAGCGTCATCAGCTTGAGATCCTCCAACCAGCATGGTGAAGTTCCCCAGTTGTTCAGCAAGAGCAAGCAGAACTTCATCCTCATCATAGATGGTATCTGATCAATCACAAAATGAGAAATTGAAAGCTATGCATGAGAAGAATTTACTACACCTAAAATATATCTTTTATAGTCATTTCAGACAGGAAAAAAACACTTACCTGTGAGGAAAGGCAGAAGTTCAGTGCGTGTTCTTTCGACGCCTAGAGCTAAGGCGATGGTGGACAGTTTCTTAATGCTGTTCAATCGTAACTACAGTGGATAAAGGCAAGAAATCCGTTAGAATAGAGTCTTGATATTTGATTGTAAAGCAGCTGATTGCTGAGGGACAAAACAGACTATTGTTTAATGTTTACAAATTATGCAATTTAAATGGCTTGATAGATGACAAACTATAAAAATAATGACATCTTTCCCAATCCATTGAGACCAGTAAGATTACACCAATTATTTCCTTCCTTGATTCCTATAATTATAACAGTCCTGTATCTTTATAACGAGCGCAAAATGAGCTCACCTTTTGGTGACAGTTGTTAATAATCAGTTCTGGTGTATTTTAAAATTGCAAACAAAATATGGAATAGATATTAAACGCAGTAAATATAAATGAAGTTATCTGAAAAAATATGAAGTGTCACTGAAAAAATCTTATCGCTAGCGGTTGCTTGAGGAGCTTTTCGCTGAAATGACAAACTGTGTCAATGTGTAGCGAAACTATTCAACATTCATACTTATTTTGTGCTTTACAATGTCTTGTAATGAAATATTGTGATTCTTTATTTAAGTAAGCGAGTCAATGACATAACAGTTAAATCACAGAACAGCTATCGTTAGCAGTGTTAGCTATCACAAACTGCTCTGCGTCACACTGTACTCACACAGGAAACGAAGTCATTCGACATAAATCAAATAATACATTTGGGTGTGCTAAATAGCATGCTGGTGGCTTTATCTGTCCTTGAATTTGATATATAATCTTGTAGGGTCTGAATTACTGAATTATCTTTTAGTTGCTAGCCGGTTTGCTAAACTAGGACAGGCCCATGTTACCGGTTGCTGTTAGCTATTCATGTCAAAATCAAGCCTACGAGTTCCAGTCTATTTCTCAAACTAGTAGTCTGTGTTAAAATACGTATTTTGTTTACCTGAACATCTTCATTTCTTAATTCGTCAATTAGCACGGCAATAGGGTAAAGAGAGTCGTCGCTGTCTGCTCCCGCCATCTTGGATGCTAAAGGCTGCTTAGCTAGTTCCTGCTACGGGGTTTCTCACTGCTGCCTGGAGACAGCGCACGAGCCCAGCACACTAAAAACAGCGCTCGAGCCCAGCCCAGCACACTGACTGTAGTCATATAATTTTCTGCAAAATAGCAGGAGTGATTCACTATCAAGGTACATTTAATAATTTAAAATGGTTTCATATGTATTAATGTATTTTGAGACAAAATACTTAATGTTATTAAAACAACAGTTTTCAACACCTGATCCAAGGGGTTGTGTGCAGTGTTGGGCAGTAACTCATTACTAGTAAGTTAACTAGTTACAGTAATAAATAGGGTTGGGTATTGTTTGAATTTTATAAATTCCAATTCCTATTCGATTCTGCTTGTC